CGTAAGTCGAGGACTCCCCGGCGCTTGAAAGCAGAGACTTTCACTCTGTCACAAGCCGGAAGATATATTTGATTCTGGGCTGCCTGCCCGGAGCTTTGCATAAGGCAGGGCTTGCAAATTCCCCGGAGGGTTTTATGACGTGGAAAGTCAACAGCTGTGTTTGCAACTTGTCTGAAAACTCACCACTGTCATAAAAGGTGCACGGTCGGTGGCTACTCCATTGTGTTTTGTGTTAAGTTATTGATTACCCATTTTTATGTCTTTATTGGAGGTTTAAAGGAGCCGTTGGTCTAAAAATGGGTTGCAGAGATAAAACACCGTTCAAAGTTAATTCCCAACTTCCTTGCCTTGGCAATAGAATTTTCCGGGCATAAATTGAAGATTTCAAAGGAATTAACCTCAGTCAGGTTTCCTTCGGCTTAAATCCCTGGCTTAAGTAGAACGGCGGTTAAATCTGCATTTCTCTGAATCTGCATTTCTCTAAATCTGCATTTCTCTGAATCTGCATTTCTCGTTGTCTAAATCTCCATTTCTCCTTGTTTAAGTCATCTGTTGTGGGAAGAAATTTAAATAGAACAGAACAGAACAGAGTAGAATAGAATAGAATAGAATAGAATAGAATAATGAATAGAATAGAATAGAATAGAATAGAATAATGAATAGAATAGAATAGAATAGAATAAGAATAATGAATAGAATAGAATAGAATAAGAATAATGAATAGAATAGAATAGTGAATAAGAATAATGAATAGAATAGAATAGAATAATGAATAGAATAGAATAGAATAATGAATAGAATAGAATAGAATAGAATAGAATAGAATAGAATAGAATAGAATAGAAAATATGGAATGGAATGGAATTAAGTGTGAAAAACAGTCACGTGATCAAAAATCAGATGTTTGGCAAGCGACTCGTATTTGTGACATGTCCTGGGGTCACGTGATCCCCTTTTTGCGAACTTCTGACAAGCATTGTCAATGGGGGAGCCAGGGTCATTTTAACAACTTTGTGACTAACTTAACAAGCGCAGGGTTCACTTAACAACGATAGCAAAAAGCAAGAAGCTCCGTAAAATGAGGTACAAGAAATGTTGTTGCTTAGCTCAGATTTGGGGCTCAGTTTTTGGTCGTACATCCGAGGACTACCTGTACTAACTTAACAACTGCGGTGATTCAGTTAAGAACTATAATAATAATAATAACAACAACAACAACAACAAACAATAAAAATAAAAATTAATAAAAATAATAAAAAAGTTGGAAGGGACCTTGGAGGTCATCTAGTCCAACCCCCTGCTCAGGCAAGAGGCGTCGTCAAATGGGACAAAACACTGTCTCACTTAGCGACAGAAATTTTGGACTAAGTTTGTGGTCGTATGTCCGAGGTCTATCCTCCCAAGGCAGTTTACAAAACCAATACCAGGAGACGAATCGCGGCGTGCAGAGATTGAACTAAGAAGCGTTTCCAATTGCAGAGGCTCTTTAAAAAGTAATAAAAAAATTAAAATCCTATCGGGTGAAATAAACATTTATATCTGGCTCTTCTGGAGAGCTTCAATTAAATCCCCTTTTCCTTAAATCTTGCGCAAAGGAAGGAAACCGAAAAGGATTAGCCAACTTCGTTTAGGAATAAAAGGAAATCAAAGAATAAAATAGACACAATCGCGGCCAATGAGTTTTTAATTTGTAAAGCATGCAACGTGATGTGTGTGTGTGTGTGTGTGTGTGTGTGTGTGTGTGTGTGTGTGTGTGTGTGTGTGTGTGTGTGTGTGTGTAGGATGCGGTTTCTGGCTTGCCCTGTTCTGAAAGATGCATTAAAAGTTGTTTGTGTGGTGTGGTTTTTTTTTTTTTGTTGTTTTTTTAAAAAGTTCCCAGTGCTTTTGCAGAAGAAAAAATCAGACACTTTAACCACAGTTAGTACTAGATGTGACGAATTTCCGGACGGATGCAAATTTGTTCGGTTTAAAGTGTGTGTTTGGGAAGTCTTGTGTCTTTTTTGGCTGTTTTTGTTTTGAAGAATGATTTTTCGGAAGAGGGGGAGTAAAAAACCTCGGCTTGGCATTCTTGGGGGTGAGAATTTGTGTTCTTGGACCTGGAAAAATGTGGGTCCTCACTATTACCGCCTGACAGTGTTTGCAGAAAGCCAAAATCAGAAAGCGTGAACACATTAAAAAAAAAATCTTATACTGCGTATAAAAAAAATATGTACAAAATGTTTTACAGATGGCACACGTCTCCAGAAAGATTAGCGAAAATTTTTAAGGACAGGTCTATGAAATGTTGGAAATGTCATCAGATACCAGGTTCCTTCTACCAGATGTGGTGGACGTGTGTAGAAGCTAAAACTTATTGGAATATAATTAGAAGATGGATAGAAAAGATGATACAACAACGTATAGAACTAAGGCCAGAAATATTCCTGTTGGGTATTCTACCAGGGAAATACAATAAAGAGAAAACATATTTAATTATTCGTATAATTACGGCAGCCAGGATTGTGTTTGCACAAAATTGGGAAGCACTGAAAGCACACACACACCCAGAGGGAGAGGTGATTGGGAAAATACTGGAATGTGCAGAAACGAATAGACTAACAATGACAATGAAAGATAAGACAGAGTCAGACTACTATGAAACCTGGGGAACTTTTTATGATTGGCTGGAAAGAGAATACGGTTAAAAGATAGTTAACATCAGTTTAGATGGAAGAAGAAGGAGCAGATAAGGAGGGAGACCCAGGCGACACAGTATTGAATAACTGGAGGTTGTATAAATATTTATAGAAGTATATACCGAGAAGGTTAGATAAATAGAAGTACGCCCACGTGTCACCTATCCTCCGCGAGCTGCACTGGCTTCCTGTGGGTCTCCGGACGCAATTCAAGGTGTTGGTTATCACCTTTAAAGCCCTTCATGGCATAGGGCCAGGTTACTTACAGGACCGCATTCTGCCGCACAGCTCCCAGAGACCGGTGAGGTCCCACAGATTGGGCCTCCTTCAGATCCCATCTGCCAGACAATGTTGGCTGGCGGGCCCTCGGGGAAGGGCCTTTTCTGTGGTGGCTCCGACCTGGTGGAATCAACTCCCCCCCCCCCAGGTTCGAACTACTCCCACCCTGCCGGCCTTTAAGAAAGCCGTTAAAACTCTCCTGTTCCGGCAGGCCTGGGGCTGATGTCCCTGGGGGGGGGGGCGGGATACGATCAGACTCGCGGTATGACTGTATTATTTTATTGTTTTATGATTGTTTTAACTCTGTACGCCGCCCTGAGTCCTTTGGGATTGGGCGGGATATAAATATTTGAAAATAAATAAATAAATATTAATGTAAGAGAAAATTAATCTTATTGTATATAATACAGATAGGGAAATTTGGACTTGCTCGGACATTACCCCTGAATTGTATCGGAAGAGGGATGACAGGGAAGAAAGGAGAGGAGAGAGAAAAGAGTGAAGGAGGGGAGAAGGAAGTAGGAAGGTTGGAGGAGAAGAGGAGAAGTGGGGAGAAAGGGGAGGAGAGTGGTGAAGGAAAGAGAAGAGGAGAGGAAGAAGAGGGAAGTAGGGAAGAGAAGAAAGGGAGAAAGAAGGTAGAGAAGAAGGAGTGTGGATACAGTGAAAGGGGAAATGGGCGAGCAACACCAAAAGTCATGTGTATGTATTTATTTCATTTTATTAAAAGTATCTTATATATGAATGTTAAAAGAATGTATGTTAACATCTGATAAATATCACGGTATATGTATGGGGGAGAGTTTGGAAAAATAAAAAATTATTTAAAAAAAAATCTTAACAAACTTTCCCAAACTCACAAAACGTTGATCTATTGGCAAAATCTCATAGTGAAGGGCTGAGCATCTCTCCTCCTTTGCAAGAATTGGACCTTAATTTTTCTTTTTAATTGATGATGATGATGATGATGATGATATAATAATAATAATAATAATAATTAAAAAAAACAGACAAGCACCTACAACATAACACCCCGGACTTAACAATTGTCGATAAGAAAGACAAAAAAGTCTGGATAGTGGACGTGGCAGTGCCTGGAGATAGCAGAATAGAAGAGAAAGAACTCGAGAAGATAACAAAATACAAAGACCTACAAATAGAAATAGAAAGACTGTGGCAAAAGCAAGCAAGGGTAGTACCAATAGTCATAGGCTCCTTGGGTGCAATCCCAAAACAACTGGAGCACCACTTGAACACCATCATCGGCATTGACAAATTCGCCATTAGTCAATTGCAAAAGGCGGCCTTACTAGGAACTGCTTCCATCCTGCGACGATATCTGTAATACCATCAAACATCCACATCTGCCTATCCCAGGTCCTGGGTAAGGACTCGATAGGTAGACAAAATGCCAAATCCAGTCTGAACATCTGGCTGACTGGGCGATGATCCATAATAAAAATAATAAAAAAAATAATAATAATAATAAAGTTGGAAGGGACCTTGGAGGCCATCTAGCCCAACCCCCTGCTCAGGCAGGAAACTCTACACCATTTCAGACAATTTGCTTTGGATTTGACCCCATTTTATAGAGGTTCCTGAAGAACAGGTTCTGACTCCTGTTCTGACATTTTCATTCATCAATCTGGCCTAAGGCAGGGCCCTCAGGCGACATGGACTGGGAATGATGGGTGATGATGGAGCAGAAACGTCCTTGGGGTAACTGGGCAGCCCGCTGCCACCTAGATGCTGGAGGCCAGGGGGTTGGACTGGATGACCTCCAAGGTCCCTTCCAACTCTTGCAAGCCGAGCCCCCCCCGCTCCCCCCCCGCTGATTTTGCACTGTTTTCCTTTCTTTTCGCCAAAGCAAAGGGGCCTTTTGGCTGTCTCCTTCCTCTTTGGGGGGGGCAGAAGGGAAGGAGGGACCCCTCCCCCACAAATCTTGCCCTCAACAACAGGATGGCTGCCCCCCCCGCCCACTTCCTGCTGCCCCCCACCCACCCCCCTCTTCTGCCCTCCTCACTTCCTTTTGCTGTTTTTCTCTTGCAGCATCAGCGAGAGCTTCCTCACCGTCAAAGGGGCTGCCCTCTTCCTGCCCCGCGGCAATGGGTCCTCCACCCCCAGGGTCAACCACCGGCGCAACAAGCACGCAGGTAAGGGGGTTCCCCCCTCCCCTCCCTTCCCCACGGATCCTGCATGCGGATTCTGTCCAGGCTGAAGGGTTGGGGCCCAGCAGGAGATGCCCAGAGAAAGTGGCCTGGGGGTGTCCTTTCCTTCTGGGGCGGATGATATACGAGCAGGCTGCACGGGATGGGAGGGATGGGGGGGAGGAGGGAAAAGGGGGGAGCTGGGTGTGGGGCTTCTCCCAGAAGCTCTGGCATCTCCGGTCCAGGAGATGCTGAGCCATGTCAAGAGCTGATTGACAGTCAGATGGGCGGCATATCAATTTAATAAATGAGTAAATAAAGCAAGGGAATGAGCAGGGCACATTGGCTGAAGAATTCCCTCCCTTCCTCCGTTCCTTCCTTCCTTCCTTCCTTCCTTCCTTCCTTCCTTCCTTCCTTCCTTCCTTCCTTCCTTCCTTCTCTCATTCACTCATTCATTCATTCATTCATCCCCTTTCCATCTTATTTATTCTTCTCTCTCTCTCTCCTTTTTTCTTCTTTAGTTTCTTTCCATACATTTTTTTTGCTCCTGCTATCCTCCTATCCTCTCTTCCCATTTCTTCCTTCCTTCCTCCCTCCCTTCCCTCCCCACCATTCCTGTTTTCCTTTCTTCCCTTTGCCTTCCTTCCTTCCTTTTTCTTTCCTCCCTTCTCATTTTTCCCCCTTTCTTTCTTTCTTTCTTTCTTTCTTTCTTTCTTTCTTTCTTTCTTTCTTTCTTTCCCTTCCTTCCTTCTCTCATTCATTCATTCATTCATCCCCTTTTCATCTTATATTTTTATTCTTCTCTCTCTCTCTCTCTCTCTCTCCTTTTTTCTTCTTTTGTTTCCATACATTTTTTTGCTCCTGCTGTCCTCCTATCCTCTCTTCCCATTTCTTCCTTCCTTCCTCCCTCCTTCCCTCCCCACCATTCCTGCTTTCCTTTCTTCCCTTTGCCTTCCTTCCTTCCTTCCTTTTTCTTTCCTCCCTTCTCATTTTTCCCCCTTTCTTTCTTTCTTTCTTTCTTTCTTTCTTTCTTTCTTTCTTTCTTTCTTTCCCTTCTTCCTTCTTTCCTTCCTTCCTTCCTTCCTTCCTTCTCTCATTCATTCATTCATTCATCCCTTTTCCATCTTATATTATTTATTCTTCTCTCTCTCTCTCTCTCCTTTTTCCTTCTTTTGTTTCCTTCCATAATTTTTTTTCCTCCTGCTGTCCTCCTATCCTCTCCTTTCCCTTCCCCTGCCCTAGACCAGTGGTGGTGAACCTATGGCACGGGTGCCAGAGGTGGCACTCGGAGCCCTCTCTGTGGGCACACGTGCCGTTGCCCCAGCCTTGCTTCCCCCCCCCGCGAGCCCCCCTCTCTCCAGCAGCCCCCTGGAGGAGAATCGCCCCCAGGTCCGGCCCACACGGGGCAACGCAGCCAAGAACATAGCCGGGCAGCAGGGACACGACTCCACCCTTGCACTCCAGAGCATGCAGCTGCTGCAGGGTGTGGGCGGAGGGCACGGCTGCCATGGTGCTGCAGGGCTGCCTGGGTGATCTGCTGCAGGCCACGGGGAGGCGGTGCGTGTCCCTAAAGGTGGGCGGGGCAGGGGGTGGGTAGGGGCGGAGCAGGCAGGGTGGGAGGCGGGGCAGGGGCAGGGGGGGCGGTTTCTGGGCACTCGGGTCTCTAAAAGGTTTGCCATCACTGTCCCAGAGAGTTGTGAGAATGTCCTTTTAAGTCAATGGTTCTCAACCTTTTTAATGCCGCGACCCCCCAACCGGTCGTAAGTCGAGGACTACTCAATCGGTCGTAAGTCGAGGACTACTCAACTGGTGCAGCCCCGTTTGCAGAAGGGGACTTTTGGCGGGCTCAGCAGGGCAGAGACAGCCTGGACAATTCCGATTGGCTTTTGAAAGCCAATAGAATTAGACTCTGTTCAAGAGGGTCTACTCTATTGGCTTTCAAAAGCCAATAGAATAAAAGGGAATATCACAACTAAGGAAAAGGGGGGGGGGGAAATGGCGGACTGCGTTGTTTGGCGACCCCCGTGAAATGGTCGTTCGACCCCAAATGGGGTCCCGACCCCACAGGTTGAGAACCACTGGTTTAAGTTGTTTGGCCAAGAACACTCCGAAGCCTATCAGATTCCTGCCTTCTTGCCTTCTTAGCCTGGTTGGGGGGGATACCGAAGACTCGGGGTCCTGGGCCTCGGTGACCCCAAGCCAGAATAAGAGGGTAAGGTTTAGAGGAGGAAGTCGGTGGCTGGAGGAGAAAAACATTCCTTTCTGATTCTTTTTCTTTCTCTTTCTCTCTGCTTCAGGAGACCTCCAGCAACACCTCCAAGCCATGTTTATGCTGCTTCGCCCTGAGGATTATATCCGACTGGTAGGTCCCCCTCAAACCTCACCCATTCTGCGCCCCCCCCCCGTTCCCCAAAACCTCAGTCCTCTTTTTCATGTTCCATACATGTCTGCATCATCATTTCCAAATGCTGGCAACTTGAAGAAGTGTGGACTTCCGCTCCCAGAATTCCTTGGCCAGCCTGCTTTAAGATGGGTGGACTTCCAATCCCAGAATTCCCCAGCCAGCCTACTTTAAGAGGGGAGGACTTCCATTCCCAGAATCCCCCAGCCAGCCTGCTTTAAGAGGGGTAGATTTCCTCTCTCAGAATCCCCCAGCCAGCATTCTTTAAGAGGGGTGGATTTCCCCTCCCCAGAATCCCCCAGCCTGCTTTAAAATGGGAGGACTTCCACTCCCAGAATCCCCCAGTCAGCATTCTTTAAGAGGGGTGGACTTCCCCTCCCAGAATCCCCCAGCCAGCATCCTTTAAGAGGGGTGGACTTCCCCTCCCAGAATCCCCCAGCCAGCATGCTTTAAGAGGGGTGGATTTTCCCTCCCAGAATTCCCCCAGCCAGCCTACTTTAAGAGGGGAGGACTTCCATTCCCAGAATCCCCCAGCCAGCCTGCTTTAAGAGGTGTCGACTTCCACTCCCAGAATTCCCCAGCCAGCCATTCTTTAAGAAGGGTGGACTTCCCCTCCCAGAATCCCCCAGCTTGCATGCTTGAACTTGGGTGGACTTCCACTCCCACATCAGCTCCTTTCTGGGACCAAAGCATCACTTAGCCCACTTACACGGGGGGCGGGGGCAGGATCTGGGAAAGGGGTCCGAATGCCCTCAGCCCCCGACCACTGACCAAGACGAAGATGCTCGGTCCCCCCAGACCGGCTGATGCCTCCGGCCAGCGCCCGGCGGTCAGCTCCCAGTCGGCTGACCGGTCATTGTTCAGCTTCAACAGTGGCTCCTTTGTGCTTTGTACTTGGGGGTGATTCGGGCGAACCCCGCCTTCCCTGCGCCGGGCGAGGGGTGCCAGGCCGGGAGACAATGCCTCCCCTTTGTGGAGCGCTAAATTTAGCCTGACGAGGAGGTCAAGCAACGGGCATCTCGGATTGCTCGCTTGGGTGGTAGCTGGGACACGGAGTAGCCGATGGGCAAGAGACGGACAGGATTGCACTTCCTTCCCGAAGTGAGGTTTTGAAGGAAAAATCGGATGACCATTTGTCTGAAGTGGTATTGGTCATAGGGTCTATTGCTTGAACGGGGGGTTGGACTAGAAGACCTCTAAGGGTCCCTTCCAGCTCTAGGATTCTATGATTCAAGAAAGGAAAGAAGGGAAGGAAAGGAAACGAAAGGAAAGGAATCCGGGAGAGAAGCAACCTGGATTAAAGGAGACATTTCCTGATTAATTAACCTGTGGAACAGCTTGCCACCAGACGCTGGGGGTGCTCCAGTCTTTTAAGAAAAGGCTGGACAGCCATTTGACCAAGATGGTCTAAGGCAGTGGTTCTCAACCTTTTTCATGCCGCGACACCCCCCCCCAACCGAGGACTACTCAACCGGTCGTAAGTCGAGGACTACTCCACTGGTGCAGCACCGTTTGCAGACTGGGACTTTTGGTGGGCTCAGCAGGGCAGAGACAGCCTGGACAATTCCTATTGGCTTTTGAAAGCCAATAGAATTAGATTCTATTCAAGAGAGTCTGTTCTATTGGCTTTCAAAAGCCAATAGAATAAAAGGGAGTAGCACAGCTAAGGAAAAGGGGGGGGAAATGGGGGACTGCGTTGTTTGGCGACCCCCGTGAAATGGTCGTTCGACCCCAAATGGGGTCCCGACCCCACAGGTTGAGAACCACTGGTCTGAGGTCTATCTTGGCCCTAGGATTCTATGATAAAGGAAGGAAGGAAGGAAGGAAGGAAGGAAGGAAGGAAGGAAGGAAGGAAGGAAGGAAGGAAGGAAGGAAGGAAGGAAGGAAGGGTGGAATCTCATCAGATAGGGATCCAATCTGGAGTAAAGGAGAAATTTCCTGATTAATTAACCTGTGGAACAGCTTGCCACCAGACGTTGTGGGTGCTCCAGTCTTTTAAGAAAAGACTGGACAGCCATTTGACCAAGATGGTCTAAGGTCTATCTTGGCCCTAGGATTCTATGATAAAGGAAGGAAGGAAGGAAGGAAGGAAGGGAAGGAAGGAAGGAAGGAAGGAAGGAAGGAAGGAAGGAAGGAAGGAAGGAAGGAGAGGAAAGAAGAAGGAAGATGAGAAAGGGACAAAGATAGGAAGGAAAGAAGGAAGGAAGATTAGAAGGAAGGAAGAGGAGGCGAGGAGAGAGGGAGGAAGGTAAGAAGGAAGGAAGATGAGAAGGAAGGAAGATGAGAAAGGGACAAAAAGAGGAAGGAAGGAAGGAAGGAAGGAAGGAAGGAAATCAAGGAGAGAAGCAATCTAGAATTAAGAAGAAACTTCCTAACTGTGAGGACAGTTAGTACAACAAAGTTGCCTTCAAAAGTTGTGGGCACTCCATCACGGGAGGTTGTCAAGAAGAGACTGGACAGCCATTTGTCTGAAACGGTGTAGGGTCTCCTGTTGGAGCAGGGAGTCAGACTAGATGACCTCCAAGGTCCCTTCCAGCTCTGTTATTCTGTTAAAAGAGGACTCTGTTCCCAGTGGACTAAGTTCAGACAATCTCAAGGACTGAGAGGAATTAACACAGGCCTCTCCCCAGCTTGGCCTTCTTCAGACATACTGGGAGTCGTAGTAATAATAGTGCGTCATACTGCACGACTGAGGCCACGCTTGGAATACAGCCTCCAGTTTTGGTCACCCCTATATAAAAAAAAAAAAGACGTAGAGACTCTAAATAGAGTGCAGAGAAGAGCAACAAAGATGGTGAGAGGACTGGAGGCTAAACCATGCAAAGAACAGTTGCAGGAACTGGGAATTTAACGAAGAGAAGAACTAGGGGTGCCATGATAGCAGTCTTGCAAATTTTGAGGAGCCACTCAAAGCAATACGTTTTGGTGCTAATTTCATTCCGAAAAAGTATTAACATATTTAAAAATTCCAGAACCCAACGCCTCTCAAATTTCTAGCTCTTATGAGGCCCAGAACGACTTAAATGTGAGAACCCCTGCCAGCCTGGGTATGTTTTCTGAAATATTCAGCAGGTTTTGCATTGCCTGATGAGGTGTTTTGCTCCTCCATCTTTCTAGCAAAGAGAGAGAGAGAGAGAGAGAGAAAATTACATAAATTTGGACATTCTCCATTACTTGCAGCAAGATCTGGGATTTGGTTCTCAGGCCTGTCCTGAATTTTTTTTAAAAAAATTGGCCCCATCAAAGGAACGGTTTAAAAAAAAAACAAAAAACCAGCCCTTTGCAGGTTGCAACAACTGTGCAAGTGGCTCTGTTTACAATTTTGCTTGGCTCCGGAAGCTGGGGAGACCAACCGGTGGTAGACTTTGAACGGGTGTCTCGTGCTTTGCGGAAGAGGTAAATAAATATTATCTGCAGAAATCCATCCAGGTCCAGGAGCCGAGAAAGGGCAAAGTGTGATTAGGAGGAAGAATTGCCCACAAAGTCATAGTGGAAAAGAGCCTTGCAATAGCAACAGCACTTAGACCAGTGGTTCTCAACCTTTTTAATGCCGCGACCCCCAACCGGTTGTAAGCTGAGGACTACTCAACCGGTGCAGCACCGTTTGCAGAATGGGACTTTTGGCGGGCTCAGCAGGGCAGAGACCGCCTGGATAATTCCTACTGGCTTTTGAAAGCCAATAGAATTAGACTCTATTCAAGAGAGTCTCTTCTATTGGCTTTCAAAAGCCAATAGAATAAAAGGGAGGAGCACAGCTAAGGAAAAGGGGGGAAAAAATGGCAGACTGCGTTGTTTGGCAACCCCCGTGAAATGGTTGTTCGACCCCAAATGGGGTCCCGACCCACAGGTTGAGAACCACTGACTTAGACTTATATACTGCTTCGCAGTGCTTTACAGCCCTCTCTGAACAGATAACAGAGTCAGCCTCTTGCCCCCAACAACCTGTGTCCTCATAGGTGGACTTCCACTCCCAGAATTCCCCAGCCAACATGCTTTAAGAGGGGTGGGCTTCCAGAATTCCCCAGCCAGCCTGCTTTAAGAGGGCTGGACTTCCACTCCCAGAATTCCCCACACGACATGTTTTAAGAGGGGTGGACTTCCACTTCCAGAATTCCCCAGCCAGCCTGCTTTAAGAAGGATGGACTTCCACTCCCAGAATCCCCCAGCCAGCCTGCTTTAAGAGGGGTGGGCTTCCACTCCCAGAATCCCCCAGCCAGCCTGCTTTAAGAAGAATGGACTTCCACTCCCAGAATCCCCCATCCAACCAGCGAAGCACTTGATTTAAGCATCCTCAGCGTCCTCCCCTGCTTTTCCTGGGAGTATCATCCCCCCCCCTGTAGGAAGAGGCATCCTGGGAAAGCCGCCTCCTGCTGGCCGTTCCTAGAAATCCACTTTGTGTCCGCCTCGCTCTCTGGTGCCTAGAATTCCCGTGCAGCAGCTGGGCGCCAGGCGCCCTCTCTGGCTGCCGGCTAATTATTCCTGCCCCAGTTGATTTAGCAAAGCCAATTAGATTACGCTGATCCGCTTGTTGCCAGTGAGGCCTCTGGGGAGCTGGCAGGCAATTGCGTTTGTGTGTATGTGTGTCTGTGTGTGCATGAAAGAGAGAGGGAGGGAGGGAGGAAGGAAGAGAGAAAGAGAGAGAGCATTTATGTGTACAGTTAGTGAGTGTTTTAGTACCCCTTTGTTGCTGAGCTACTGAGTTAAAGAGCTTTCTGATTAGCATTGGGTGATTCAAGCATTGGTCCTTTATGCTTCCACTAACTCAGGGATCCCTAACCCCCAGTTTGTGGACCCAGTACTGGGCCGCGGTATGCCAGCAACCGGTCCGCACAAACAAGCAAAGCCCCATCCGTGGGATGCAGGCAGCACACAAAACACACACCCTCCGGTCCGCGGAAAAACCTTTATCCACGGAACCGGTGATCCCTGGTGCCTGAAAGGAATACTATAGCAGTATTTAC